GTAAGGGATGTAGCATTTCAAAAGGTCGGGAAAGAGGAGAGAAAGTTCTACATGCAGAAAAAAAGAGGAGAAAAGAATTGCCAGAGCTAAGGGAGACTGACCTTACGAACACAGCGGAGTGAAAACAAGCGCAAAGCGCAGTGGCCTTTTCATTTCTGCTCTCTAGCCATCAGGTAAATTAGGCTGGACGTGAGGAATACAAACTTCCTCAGAAAATTGATGAGAAATGCCTCTCAATCCGTAGCAGAACTGTCAGCTCTGGTCTTGCAGAACTTGAGTACTTCATTGGCTGCTCCAGATTTTGGTTTTAGGCAGGTTTATTCCTTTAATTAAATTCCCACCTACTACTATGTGTGGTTTTTTGCAGTTTTTTTGTCAGATGGGCCAAGTGAGAAAGTTAGAGCTCTGGCTATAGAAATTTACTGAGCAAGCCCTTTATTATCTTGAATTCCTGTTTATTGCTCTAAGCACCAAGAGGAGAGTTATAGGTAGATAAGTAGCCATTATTCGTCATATTTTTATTGAAATTCAAGATTATTCCCCTCCTATCAAAATACTAGACCAATACTTTCTTGCAAAATATAAAATATATAAATTCCAGATCCAAAAATCAAATTTCAGTTCTTTTAGTAATAAGGATTTATGTTTATAATTTATATAATTATGGGTATTTAGCTCTAATACCCAGCTTAGCTTTCAGGTGGGGGTAGGGTTTAACAGAGTGTAAAATTAAAAGACTACTTCTCTCTTCCCCCTTGTCTCTGAGGAAATTGTCATGAAAAAACATGCTGTGGAAAAAACAACATGGCGATAGGAACTGTGATAGCACTGTGTTTCTGAAAATTACAGTAGGCCAAAACTCAAGTCTGTAATTAAGACACATGTATTCATAGCATTCAGTTTGTATGCACTGTGTGCATGTGTATAGGGCTGAGTTAGGAGGCACATACATACTTGTGTTCAAATGCTTGTTTACAAGTACATGCTAAATGAAAATATAAGTAAAGGCAAATTTAAAGGTTGTCCATCGTGCCCATCTCTAGATACCTGGTCCTGGGTCTAGCAAGTTTAAATAATTTTAAAAATTATAGAGCAAATAACTATTGAAATGAAAATTTTACTTTGTATACTGCTCACACTAATATGTAGATTTCTTTATGTTGCCTCAAGTAAGATAGTCTGTTTTCTGAGGTAGGTATATCTTAGTTTACTGTGTGTATCTGACTATTAAATCCTACCTTATATGTATGGAATTGATATGGAAAAGACATTGAGTCCTTACCCTTTCTCCTTTGGTCCTTAGATGCTCAAATTTAAACAGAACATGCACGTATCATACAGAAGATAGACTCTATCTAATATCTTGAATATGCGTTGAGTTTTATCTTCACGACTTGCACAGCATAGATACTGCTTGAAATAATCTTTTATTGCAGATTTTAAAATATATATGGTTTTTATCAGTAGTCCATTTCTGAACTCTGAATTTTTACAGTTCCTGTCTTCGCTATAGAGTCCACATTAAAGAACTGCAGTTTCATTCAAAAAGATAATACTTCTTTTCTTTCTTACTTTATATTTTTGAACATATTTGAGTTGGGACTCTGCCCTAACAATACACATTATTTTCAAAAATCAGGTTGTGTAAGAAATTCCTTCATTGGGTAAAACTATTTGGGCCAAATTCTACACTGTCTTGAAGAGTGTGCAGTCATTTGTATACATTCAGAATTATTACAAAATTAATTTTTTTTTTTTTTTTTTTAAGTAGCATTCTTTACCTGTTTTCTACAGGTAAGTGATAAACGGCCATCAAATGTGTGAAGAAATGTGGTCTTAACTGACCTGTTAAGAGCAGAGGATCAGTTTGCAGTTGTTATTTCTTGGTTTAAATACTATTCTGTTCTTTGATAGTTGACATTAACATTATGCTATTTTACTTTGTCATTTGAAAGGCCAAATGTTGCCCACTGATAAGGACTCACTGATCTCTGTAAGTGTCAGATGTGTTATCTGGGAGTTGAATATGATGAAAAAAGACCACAGTTTCTCTTCAGCCCTGGAAGTTTTTATACAGATTGGTCTAATCCACAGTGATAATCTTGCAAGTGTTTACCTGTTCTTTGTCTTTAAAGATGTTCACAGTGCAGCTGACTCTCGGAGAACAGACCTGGGAAGCTGAAGGAAGCAGTATTAAAAAGGCCCAACATGCTGCTGCCAGCAAAGCATTGAATGAAACTACCCTTCCCAAACCAACGCCTAGACCACCCAAAAATAATGTTAACAATAACCCAGGTATGACATTTTCCTTTGTGAAATAAATCTTCTTGAACTGTTGGAATATTATACCGCTAATTAAGTTAAGTTGGATGATGAGAATCAACATAGCTGTCTTATAGGTACGATAGTGTAATGAAGAACCTCTAGTGAGTTTGCACGGGAGAGTTTTTAATGCCCTACCTAAAATGGTAGGTTTTACCATAGTAAAACTTTTTTTCTGAAGAGTTATTTTAGCTAATTTTCTAATGAAAGGGCCAAATTTTACTCAGTCCAATCCTGTGAAATTGCATCTGTGGTGTAAATAAAAGGTCAGGATTTGGCATGAGAACTCTGACAGTTAATCCCTGCATAGTAGGTTTTCCTTCATAGCAACCTGTGCTTTCAAAAAGCTTTCAAACAGCTTTAGGAACTGTTGTTTGAACAATAGAAAGAATGTATAGTGGTGTCTTGCATCCTTCATTTTGAGGTGTTACCTGTGAGTTGCCTTCTATGCATGCAACACCTTTTGAGGTACACATCTCAGCCACGTGCTCAGTGATCTGTTCTGTCTTGTTCAATAAAATAAATTTAGAAAAAATATTCCTAACTTTATTTCACACTAATATAAAAGAGAACAAACGGTGAGAAAAAAAGTCATCCTTTCCTTTTTTTTCTTTTTTTACACTCCTTTTCCCCCCCTTTTCCCTTCTTCCCTTTTTATTTCCCTCTGCCACCCCCTCGCCCTTTTAAAAAAAGTCGTCTTCAGCCATTTTCTTAAAATGGAGTAATTTTGCAGTTAATCTTCTCTATGTTGGAATAAAAGCAGGAGTAAGTTTCCTTTAGAGCTTGTGAGTGTTAGCCTAAGCATTAGCCATTAAGGATTGTTTGAGAGTGATGCAATAGTATTCTCTTGCTCCCTTGGAGATCAATACATTGCTTCTCCAGACCCAGGACACTGGTTTTGCCCTGTGTCCTTCGCAGTCACTGTGACTTTGGCTGTTAAGAAAGCGGGAGGCTCACACCTCTATAGAAAGGGATCCTGAGTTTAATTCTTAACAGTGCAGGTTATCACTCAGCTTCTCAATTTTTGTTGGCTTTGAGCATATTCTTAAAGGGAAAAATTGATAACAAAACAAATAGGCTTTAACAGAATTCATTAAAAAATTGTATCACTTAACATTGTAATTTTGCCCTAAGAAAGGTGTATTGTATATGCACAGGTATCTTCACATCAAAATGACATTTTGATTTTTATTATTTAGTTGAATTCATAGTCATTCCTTGCTCTGGAGAATATTAAATAGTTGTTGATGGAAGTTTTTGAATAAGTATTGCGTAAAAATTTTCATCATTTGGCATATAAAGTCTCAATGGCAGACTGGCAAATTCTGTTTTAAAGCTAGATTCATTTGGCATAGCTGTTTTAAGGCTAGATTCATTTGAACCTCTTATGAAAATACTAACTCATTTGTATTGGAATGTGCATTTAGCTCATTTAGCGTTTTCTTAGAACAGTGCAAGTGGAGAATACTGTAGCTGAACATTTTATTTAAAAAAAAAAAGATGAAGTCACAGTGTAGCTTTTTATTTGGCATTTTGGAGACCATGCAAATGGGCAAGTGCTGGCTGCATTCTATTTTTGTATTCTGGCACTAGTAGATGGCTGTAGTGACACTGATTTCCAGGAGCTGTATTTTCAGTTTGTTAGATAATTAGTTTTTAGTCATAGTCTAAGTTTTCAAGTCTTGCAAATAAAACATTTTTTCTAACTTGTAAGATTACCAAGTGACTGCAGTAATGCCTATTACTGCTTGCTTGTTTCAATCCTCTTTGCTCTATTTGTGGTTTTATTTAATGGTATTCAGCCGGAAGAGACATTATTCTTTTATCTTTACAGGTTCAGAAAGTGTCATAATGTATTATAAGTACTTTGGAAAGATGAATAACCACCTTGATTATAGCACTGACTTGCTCAATCATATGTGAAGATTAATCTACTGAAACTGCATAGAGAATGCACTGAGATAAATATTTAAATGTTCTTTTTCATTGCTTGTGATTAAGTTGGCATCTATATTCCTGTCTTTTAGAGAAACTGAAATGTCATTGTAGTTGCTTCTTTTTTAATTTAAGAGCAAAAAAATATCATGCAGATCTCTCTTTGCTGCTCATCTCAGTCCTGCTTGTGTGTTTTGCAGTATTTGTGGTGCCTTACATGTATTCTTTGTTTTTTGCAGGCAGTATAACTCCAACAGTGGAGCTGAATGGTCTGGCTATGAAAAGAGGAGAGCCTGCCATCTACAGGCCATTAGATCCAAAGCCAATTCCCAATTATAGAGCAAATTATAATTTCCGGGGCATGTACAATCAGAGGTTTGTACTTTTTCTATTATTTGATGGTTTTTATCCTTTGCTTATCAATGTGTCCTAAATCTTTATGAACTTCGTAGGTTATTTCAGAGAATATAAAATTAAGATTGTTACTAAGGAGAGTCTATGCAGCCTTATTTAGAGACATGCATAATCTCCTTCTAAAAGAAGACAGGTGCCCTAAGCATGTCAAAAGGAATAAAGACATGTAAACCGACTATTTCTATTTTTTTAATACGCATACTGGAGTTACAGTCTACAGCCATGGCAGTGAGGAGGCAGAGCACTAACTTCAGCGAGAGGTTTTGCTTTTCTTTGCTGTCATTTTGTGTCATGTGATTTGAATCTGTATTGTTAAAAATGAAGCACTCTTTTCTTAGAAATTGGATATAAAACTAGGAGGGCTGCATTTTGAAAATTGGCTTGAAACCATTCTCAGGTTTCCATTTTTTTAACCATTCTGCCTGGTCAATTATCTCAGTTCCTTAATCCTCAGTGTTTGGTTAGGAAAAATCCTTTATTTCACAGTTTAGAAACCTATATTCAGAGCTCTCCTTACTGTAGTAAGTTGGAGTAATCGTTGAGAAGAAGGTATTCAAAATTTTGTTTTTAAACTATCAAATTCTTGAAGATTAAAAAATTTTAAAATTTAAGTGGGTGGAGACATTTTCTTAACTGACCATCCAAATATTTTATTCTTCAGTATGTTCTAAATTTTTGAAACATCTTCATCTTTGGTATTTGTACAATAGGAAAAACTGTTCGAGCTCATTCTGAATTAAATGTGCAACAGTCTGAGAGAAACTTAAGGTAATATATGTATGTATTTGCAATCCCAAGAACTTCTTTCTCTGAGATAGGTTTTCTCCCCATTTTTCCTTATTTTCCCTCAGAGGAACTATATTAGATAAGGTCTTTTGGAGCTCCAAAAGTGATACCAAGTGTAATCTGTAAAATAAGAAAAAAACAAAACAGGTCAAGAATTTCTAATAGCATGTTTTATCAGTGAAAAATGTTGCCTTTCTTTTAAAAGTTTGCTTAATGGATTTCCTATCAATTTTTATGCATTTCATTATTATCAAAAAGAATGAGATTTTGAACTCTGAAGAAGTGTTTTAGTTCAAAATTACTCTTTTATTAGAAATTGAATTTACAGCAATGTTTAAAAATTAAGGAGTTTGAAATGAAAATGCAGCATTTCAGAATTGTCTAAGGAAAATATTTGAGTTGACTTAATCTTATTTTACTTTTCCCCAGATTTTTAAATCATGGTAACTTTAGGGTTTTAACATTTCATTCTGATTTTTTTTTTTTTTTAGTAGCAATAATACCTAGAACTGTAAAAGACAAACAAACAAAAATAACCTGGAAGAAAACTCTTTCATTACTCTACAGAACAGTGACTGATTATTGTATTACTTGTGTTGTATTTCTAGTCACTGCTGACCTGAGTCTCAGTTTACATATGTCATGGTTTAAAAAGCTAACTATGGTGTCTGAAATGAGTTTTGTTAATATTTAGAAATTCTACATTTATTTGAATTGCTTTTATAATGAGATTAGTTTGACTAACAGATAAAAGGGCAAGGCTGGGAAAAATTCCAGCCAGTAAAAAACATAAAATGGGGAATTCTGGAATCTGAACTTAGTTACTGAAACGTATTTGTGGAGCAGAACCCCGAAACGCTTACCAGTTGCTAACTTCTAAGATTTTCTTTCTTTTCATAGAAAATGATTAGTATGCCTAGTGCAATCTTTAAGTTTGCTTCTTTGGGAACTATCTTTCATGGGAACCGTGTTCCCATGTTAGGGTAAAATGATACATAAGCTTTATTTCTCTGGGGGCATTAGGTAGCCAAGGGCATTTGATTTTTCTGATCACAGAACAAACAGGCAGGGTGGGACAGAAGGCCAGAATCTCTGCTTGCCTGCTTCACTGTGCTTATTTGAGTGCAGTTGCCCACACAGGGTGACTAATAATACTGTGGCTGATAGATTGATAACTAACTAAAACTAAGTAGTAGATAACTAGGTCTGCCTGTCTGCATAAACACATATCCCCTGTGCATATACCAGCTCACATGTGAACACCAGAGTAAAGAGGAAACAGAAGAATGATGCCATATAGTACTGTTTTGGGACTCCTGTGTTGGAAATAATTGTTCATCGCCTTGTTTTGCATTGGAAGGTGCTGGTCCATTATGATCCCAGTAAGAAAGGCACTTAGACTTTGTAAGGTATCATTTAAAATGCTATTTTTAGAGCTGACGGTGTAAGAATAGCACAGATAGTCTTCCACACCTTTAGATGCTGGGAGCCCCAAGCGGTGTAGCGTCAAACAGGACTGCAACCCACGTGCAGCATGCCATGCAGACCTCCGCCGCAGCAGAGATCTTCCCCGTCTTGGTCATTCACCCTCTCCCAGGATTTTCTTACAAGGAAACAACTCTGTCATGCTGTAGTCAAAACAGAAATGATGTTCACATGAGAACTTCTTGCTGCGCTGTTAGATGAAGGCAAGGTCATGCAGGTGGTACTGATGGGGAGCTGCCCGCAGGCCCCTCTCTTGCGGCGAGTTTGTCCTGCGGCCGATGGATTTGTGCAGCACAGCCCCATCCTGCGAGCCACGCTGGGCATGGGCCCTGCAGCATGGCTCAGTCTGGATGCGGCGTGGGTCCCTGGCTCCTCCATGTGCTGCGCTCTGCCTGTCGGGATCGCTGCGCACCTCCTACCCACCCTCACCGGAGGGAACTCTGGAGACAGATTCTGGATCTGTGGTAATAGCAAGCGAAGTCCCAAATATGAAACACATGCTGTAGTACTATATTATGTTCTTGTGGTATGATATGTTACATTTATTATCTTCTACTGCCATGCTGTGTTTAGCATTCGTTTGCTGATTTTTAGCAGTTGGGTAGTAGAATAGAAGTGTTGTTGGATTTTCCAAGTAAATGCAGACCATATAGACTGTTTAAAAATAAGATTTGAAAAATAATGTAGGTAATATGCTCTAATCAGTATTTTTCATTTTCATCAGTTTTTGACTGTAGATTATCTGTTATTAAGACAGATACGAAATATGCTAAGTAAGTTGGAAGCTGTTTTTGTCTTTTATACTGTGACTAAATTCCTTTTACTGATCTCTGTTTGAAAAAAATGTGCTTTTCAAATAGGTTAAGATACAGATTAAGATTAGGAGATTGTGTTAGGGAACTTTGATCCTGGCAAGATGAGTGACTTGACAAAAAAATAAAGTATTAAGTTCATCCCAGGGCATATCTTTAGACCAGTTAAGTCTAGTGTTTCAAGTGACACAAAAGATCCTTTTCAGTAACTCATGGAAATGTGGTCTAAGGGTTGCTATTTGTATGCAAAGTTGAGGGCTAGCTTCCATGTCAGGCTAAGATGATTTATGTTGAGGTGGCAGTGATTTCTCCTCCTTCCTTTGTCCCCAGACTTTGTGTCCCTGTGAGTTTCCTGGCTCCAGCACTGGGAGTTGCGCTGCTCGGAAGTGAATCAATTTGGCGGGGGAGAGGAAGGGAGAAGTTACTCCTAGACTTAAAACTGTCCTTAAACACCTCCTCACTTAGTCACACAGCAGCTTGCGCCTTCACTGGAGAGGGGGCAGGAATGTGTGTTTGGAAGTTAAGGGCAGCTTGGGTTGATTTAAGCACGTGAAGAACTACACTCTTCCATGCGGTAGAGCATATTTATATGGGCAGTCTGTTGCATAGAGGATGTCGAAACAGGTTTACATGCAAGATGCAAAGATCCATTTGCAAGGTCTGTAGTTGATGTCGTAAATTGATACTGAAGGTAAAAGTTACTTTCATGGAAAAAGGGAAAGCGGACAAGTGAGAGGAGAAAAAGAGAAAGGGGAAAGTTTTCCCAGTGGCCAGCTTGGAAGGGAAGTGGTGGCGTCTCCCAGATGAGCATCTTCCTCTGGGTGTCCTTTCCCATGCAGCAAGTGTTCCCCATAACACTTTCCCATAATAATTCTGTGGTTTTCATCAGGACCTGCCCAAGCTTGTTCCCAGCACCTTGTTGCTTGTTCCTGCTGCTGATGCTGGTAGTGCTGCATCAGGGCAGGTGTTGAACGCTGGCTGTTTATTGAGCTTTGCGCGTGCATGTTACTGGGCTCTGTAATGTATACCAAAAGCTACTGCCAAGGGATAGGAAAAGGGCAGAGGAGAGAAGGGCTATGGTACAGTATAGATACAACAGTGTCAACATTTTGGTATTTGCAGGTGAAGGGCCCTGAGAATAACAGCACGGGGAGAACAGCAAGGGAAAAATACAGCTAGAGAAACTCTGGAAAACACTGGCCAGGCAGCTTAGGTGAAGGGTTGCAGAGCTGCAAGTGGAAGGCAGGCTGCAGAACTGCAAATGCAAAACTTGGCACCGCAGAGGGTAAGGCATTTAAGGCAGCATGGAACACCAGGGTTAAGGTGTTATCCTTGTAAGTCTCTTCCTGTGCTAAGATAGGAAGTGCGGGGCAAGGCTGCTCCCCTCTTAGGGGTAGTTAAGTAGAGAAAATACAGTTCCATTTGGGAGTGGATGAGGTATGGATGTATTAACCTGGCTCTTCACTCAAGCTAGTGAATGCAATACTCGCTAGATTGTTAACAGCAATGGGTCATTGCCATTACACTGCATTTCGGCTGGAGCTGATAAAGTCTGTGTGATGCTGAGCTGAATCATGTGAAGTTATCAGCTTAAGTCTCTGGTAGGTTGGGTGTCTGTATACTGCAGTTCATTTCACAATATAGATAAGAACTTCAAACTTTTTTCATCTCACTCTGATAAGACAGCTTGGGAGTCCTCTCTGGATTTTCTTTATTCAAGTAAAATCCATGCAAGTTTGGTACTAGGAAGCTTGATGGCCTCTGATAAGGCAGAGCTTTTAAAAAAGCTGTCAACCCTGAATCCAGCCACGTTAGACAACTTCTTATTTAACAAAGGTTTGTATATTACTAACAGATTATAATAAAGGAAAAAACTAT